CCCGCCCGCCTGCTGCCTCCGCGCTAGGCCTTCTTGCACTTGCCCTTCTTCTCACGCTGCTGGAACTTGCGCAGCCGCCGCGCCCACGTGTCCCGCCACTGGATCACCAGGCTGCTTTTGTCGGCCACGATGCCGCTCTGGTCCGGAGAGTCCTCAGCGTTGCCCAGCAGCAGATACTTCTTGAGGGGCTTGATTTTGGGACATTTGCAGGCGATGTCCCGCGAGCGGATCCACAGGCTCTGGTCACCGCGGCGGATGCGGCTCGTGCCCTGCTTGTACACGGAGATGATGTTCACCGTGAACTTCCACCAGTCCCCCGCCTTGTCCGCCTTCAGGATGTGAATCTGGACGGCTGCAAGGAAGCACAGGCAGGCGGGTGGGCCCCCAGATGCTGTGGCCAGGTCCACCCTGCCTGAGCCTGGAGAGAAGGGAAAGGAGACCCAGCCCCAGGAAGTGACTGCAGAGAGTGTCCCATGGAGGAGCGCGTGGGTGGTGGCAAGCTGATCGTAGACCCCCTCACCTGCTAACACCAGGGCCAAGGCCGCTGTTCCAAGAGGCTTCACCACCCACGCTTTGAGGGTGCCACCCAGCACTGCCGTCGGGACAAGCCATCTCCTGGCCTTGTCGAGACCCACTTTGTCCAGAAAGCCTACAGGTGCTGCCCACGCCCCCAGCACTCTGCGCAAGCTGTCTGCCCAGGGCAGGCGCTCGGGTGAGCGCAATGCTGGCGGGGGAGAGGGAGGTTCCTCAGGGGTGCGCTTCTCCAAAGACCAAAGTCACTTTACACCAGACCTCATGACACTCCACACACACAGCCTGGTCCTCCAACCAGTCTCAGAAAACCATAATGGGTCCTCAATGCTCAGGGGCAGAAGATGAGAACCCACCCTTTGGGGTGGCTGTAGTGCCTTTTCCAGAGCCCCGGGGTCCTTGGACTGCCGCTTCCCATGTCTAAGCCATCCCTACCAGGGGGCCTCCCTTCCTCTGTGCTGCCCAAGGTCCCCAGACCATTCCTCTTACTCCAAATTCTCTGCCAGTATTTTCCCTAGTAGAGGACTTCCCCAAATGGAGCATGCATCAGAATGCCCTGGCGGGCTTGTGAAAATACACTGCTGGGCCCCGCCCCAGAGCTTCAGATTCAACAGATCTGGGTGAGGCTCTAGAATACGCATTTCTCACAAGCGGTGAGATGCTGTTGACTCAGAGGACAAATGTTCCCAGATGTCATTTCTGCAAGATAGTAAGGGAGACTTCAAAAATAAGAGATGCTACATAAACAAATAAGGAGAAACTTTGCTCTTACTGCAGGACTTTTCAGAGCCTTTAACCTAAGAATCCTGTATACATATGTTGGTTTCTCAGACAACCCTGACTGCAGAACCCTTTGGTTGGTGCATCTCGGTCACCAGAGCCTCATGGAGCCTTCTTGGGGACCTGCTGGAGGTGGACACATGATCATTGCCCCCAGGCCAAGGGGGTACCTGGAGAGGCCTACTGCTGTACTCAACCTCTGTTCAAGAGAAACAGCCATCCACTCACTCCCCTGCCCCACACTGTCAGAGCAGGGTCCCTTCCCCTCACACGCTGTAGCCTTCACTAGGCGAAGCACTTTATTCCCCAGGCTGGGCCATGAAACAGACTTGAGCCCTCCTGAGAAAGGAGCAGCAGCTTGAAGAAACCAAGACACAGGCAAGCTCTGTGGCTTCAGCAGTCACAAGCACATGTCCCCAGGGAACGCCCAGCAGTCATCACTTCCCCACTTACCCCTCCAGACAATGGACCCACCCCAACTCAGCCTACCTTCCCACGCTGGCTGGCTTCTGTCTACATCCCTGGGGGCCACTCTGCTCCTTCACTCGCAGGGCAACCCCCCATACCCACACAGGGACCAGGGGATGGGGAGGGGCAGGGACAGCCAGGCGCAGGAGAGCACTGAATGCCAACCGACTCATCCTTCCAGGGCGAGGGAAGCACATTTTCCCATATTTTCATTTCAGCTGTCCCTGGGCATCCTGAACTTTGCACTCCAGTCTGAGGGCTCCAAAGAATGGCTGCCATGGCAACCGTTTCCATGTTTTTGTCACCAAGAGACTCAACAGTCAGTGTGAACTCTGGGGTGGGGGGAGCCCTCCAGCCCAGAGAAGTGGCTGGGCTGTGTGTATTTGACTGTGCAGACAGAGGTCACCGTGGCAACTGAGAGCCCCTTAGCTAAGCAATGGGGGAGCCACCCCAGGCATCCCTGAGCGCCCCACTTTCCTCTCCCCAGGACTGAGCTGAATACGAATGAGCTCAGGATACGGCTGTTTCTCCCGTGCTGGACACCTCAGACCCTTCGCACAGCCACAGTGTCCCCAGCCAGCATGGGCTGGAGTGGCCCAACAAGGATGCTGTGGGAGGCACCCTGGGCTGGGGCTCTGGGAGAGCGCAGCTTTGATCCCACGCTCAGAGCATCTGTTGGTGCTGTGTGCTAAATGGTGTCCCAACAAATTCCTCTGTTGAAAGCTTAACCCCCTGGGCTTCACAGGATGATTTTACTTGGAGATAGGGTCTTTATAATTAAGTACCCATTAAAATTTTACAACATTTAAGTATAATTAAGATGAGGTCATTACGGTGGGCCCTGTGACCCGTGTCCTTATAAGAGGAGATGAAGAGACAGACACACAGAGGGAAGATCCTGTAAGGACGCGAGAAGGTGGCCCTCTACAAGCCAGGAGAGAACTCAGAGGAAAACAACCCTGCTGCCACCTTGATCTTGGACTTCCAGCCTCCAGAGCTGTGAGAAATACATTTCTGTGGTTTAAGCCACTCGATCTGTAGTACTTTGTTCTGGCAGCCCTAGAAGCTAATACAATTCATCTTGAAGATTCTGGGGATGTTGGGCCTCTGCTCAGGGCCAGGCAGAAGGGCAGAGTTGGCAGAGTCTCACGTTTGCTGAGAAGAGCCTAGAGAAAGAGCTGGCTGGAGAAGGCCTAGCCTTAGACTTCCTGCAGAGGCCTCCCAGGGACCTTCTCACTCCCTGGGGTCATAGCAGAAGGGCCGCTGAGCCCTGCCCAACCCTCTCTGGTCTCTGAGCTTCCCTCCATCAGTGAATGCCTTGGAAACCAGGCGTCGCATCCAAAGCAGCCCCCTGTGCATCTCCAGGCACAGCCACACAGGCCTGAAGGGGACCTGCTTAACTGCATAACACCAAGCACAAAGCCCTGAAAGGTACCCTCCCCTGGACACCTTGCTGTCAGGAGTCCAGAGGGATAGAGCAATGGACACTGGTCAGTCGGGAGAAAGCAACCAGCCTTTGTCCTTCCACCCCCAGCAGATCTCAGCAACATCAGGGGTGGGAGCTGTCCTGGCCACAGGGGGCAGGGGCACGTAGTGGTAGGACTCATGATTATGCTGGAAAAAGGCCACATTTCCGCTGCCCTTGGCAACCCCTCTACACATTACACAGCCCACCAAGTATGAGCTACACATGCAGTGCCTGGGCCAAGCCCCTGCCGTGCACATACAGCTGAAAATATTCAAAATGTGCATTGCAACAGTGACCTCAGACAGACCTGCCCTGCAGGTCTGGGAGCACGAGCATCAGGAGCCACACAGCACTCCACCAGGCTGCTGTCACCTCCAACCAACCTCTGGCTTGAAGTGAGGAATGATGGGGATCTCTGGGCTACATGGAACCTGGGGCCCCTCCCAACCCAGATGTACCCGTGATGTCACCCAACGAGGGGGCTTCGCACAGTGGGCTATGGGCAGTTCTGCCCATCCTAGGACCATGGCCTCAAGGATGGGCCTCTTAGATCCTATCATGGTTTTAATGTTAGTATCCCCCCGCAGATTCATCTGTTGGAACTTGATATCCAGTGTGAGAATATTAAGAAGTAGGGTCTTTGGGACATGATTAAATCATGAGAATTTCACCCTGTGGATGGGATTAGTGCCCTTATAGAAGCTGACTGGGCACAGTGGCTCACGCTGGTAATCCTAGCACTTTGGAAGGCCGAGGCGGGCAGATTGCCTGAGCTCAGGAGTTCCCTGGGCAACACAGTGAAACCCTGTCTCTACTAAAATACAAAAAATTAGCCAGGCGTGGCAGAAGGCACCTGTAGTCCCAGCTACTCGGGAGGCTGAGGCAGGAGAATTGCTTGAACCCAGGAAGTGGAGGTTGCAGTGAGCCAAGATCACACCACTGCACTCCAGCCTGGGTGACAGGGCAAGACTCCGTCTCAAAAAAAAAAAAAAAAAAGAGGCAGTTCCCATGCCCTTTCCACTGTGTGAGGACACAGCAAGAAGGCAGCATTTCTGAAGCAGAGAGCAAGCCCTCACCAGACTCAGAATCTGTTGGCACCTTGGTCTTGGACTTCCCAGCCTCCAGAACTATGAGCAATAAGTTTCTGTTATCAGTCACCCAATCTAAGGGGTTTTGTGGCAGCAGCCCAGAACTAAGACACACCCATACGATGAAACTCACCCCAAGCTAATTAGCCTCGGCCCTTAGCATGCCTGTACTCCCACTGTCCTTGCACTGATGTCCTAAAAATTGTCTTCAAGAACGCTGGAACTGGGGGCTCTGCTGAGGATCCCCCACCGTGTATTCAGGAAGGAGATGAGATGAGATTGCTCTCAGAAAAGCAGATGGTGAGGTCAGACCAGGGAGATGAGAAGTGTGCCGACAGTCCTTAAATTAGGGACTGCTGGCTGGGCGTGGTGACTCACGCCTGTAATCCCAGCACTTTGAGAGGCCGAGGCGAGTGGATCACCTGAGGTCAGGAGTTTGAAACCAGCCTGGCCAACATGGTAAAACGCTGTCTCTACTAAAAATACAAAAAATTAGCCAGGCGTGGTGGTGGGCACCTGTAATCCCAGTTACTGGGGAGGCTGAGGCAGGAGAATTGCTTGAACCCGGGAGGCGGAGTTTGCAGTGAGTGGAGATCACACCACTGCAGTCCAGCCTGGGCAACAGGAGTGAAACTCCATCTCCAAAAAAAAAAAAAAAAAAGAGGGACTGCTGTTGTACAGGAAGAAGTTGCCACCTTAAGTCAGAATGGCCATTCTCTGAAGTGGAGACAAGGAAGTCAATGAGGCAGATGTTAACAGAGCTCCTCAACCCTCCTGCCTGGGGAGGGGAGCCTGGCCTCTGCCTGCTGGTGCTTCTGGTTTTACATAAGTGCTCAACGGCTGCATCCCAGGGTCCACAGCTCAACTTCATCCCCCCTTCCTCTGAGCCCTTGCTGCCGCAGAGCTGACTGCTACAAGTGAGTTGGTGCGCTCTTCCCAGCCGACTCTGCTCAGGGCAGGGATCTGCTGTCAGGGCAGACAAAACCAGGACTGGGACGTGGGAACTGGAACCCTGGA